GGTTTTTCATCCTGAGTCTTTTTTCTGGACGGTCCTGAGGCCTGGTAGGGGCCCCCCGAGGCCGAAAATAGCGATAATCTCCCGTCGTGGCTTTTTCACGAGGCGAGGGGGTCTTGGGAGGGAGCGGGCTCTCTCTTCCGCCTGGCAGCCCCCTTCTGGCCAACAGCTGTGACGGAGGAGGACAAGGTCGAGACCACGGGTGGCCCTCGCGCCCTGCCCAAATTTCGGCTGCAAGCTGGCTCCCTGGGGCCCCACCAGAGTCCATAGCAGGAGGAGGAGGGGGAGGAGGATGAGGATGAGGAGGACGAGTGGTATTGCCTTGTGTGCGCTTAGCGCGTCCCCTGCCCACGCCCGCCGGGGTGGAGCAACGCTCGTGGGCATGGCGCGGGGGCTCCCCGGCCACTTGCAGATTTGGTGCTCGCGCTGCCAATGCTCTGCTGTTCTAGGGCTTTGCAGCGTCGTCCGCACCTTGCTGCTGCATGTCCGAGCTCCGTAGCTGCCTGCGCGCATTCCTGTGCTTAGCTGCGTTCTTTCTCTTATGGACACTGCGGAAGCCTGACGAAAGCTTGAGAGGTCCCTTCCAATGCGTGCTCCGTCTACATCGGGCTCTCGCTTTCGGCCTCGCGGCGCGTTTGCGGCGACGAGTGGTATTGCCCTGCGTGCACTTAGCGCGTCCCGTGCCCACGCCCGCCGGGGTGGAGCAACGCTCGTGGGCATGGCGCGGGGGCTCTCCGGCCACTTGCAGATTTGGTGCTCGCGCTGTCAATGCTCTGCTATCCTAAGGCTTTACGGCGTCGTCCGCACCTTGCTGGTGCATGTCCGAGCTCCGAAGCTGCCTGCGCGCATTCCTGTGCTCAGCTGCGTTCTTGCTCTTTTGGGCACTGCGCAGGCCTGGCGAAAGCTTGAGAAGTCCCTTGCAATGCGTGCTCCGTCTACATCGGGCTCTCGCTTTCAGCCTTGCTGCGCCTTTGCGGCGACGAATGGTGCTGCCCTGCGTGTACTTAGCGCGTCCCCTGCCCACGCCCGCCGGGGTGGAGCAACGCTCGTGGGCATAGCGCGGGGGCTCCCCAGACCCTTGCAGATTTGGTGCTCGCGCTGTCAATGCTCTGCTGTTCTGAGGCTTTGCAGCGTCGTCCGCAGCTTGCTGCTGCATGTCCGAGCTCCTTAGCTGCCTGCACGCCCTCCTGTGGTCAAGTGCATTCTTTCTCTTATGGGCACTCCGCAGGCCTGGCAAAAGCTCCAGAGGTCCCTTCCAATGTGTGCTCCGTCTACATCGGGCTCTCGCTTTCGGCCTTGCGGCGCCTTTGCGGAGACGAATGGTGTTGCCCTGCGCGTACTTAGCGCGTCCCGTGCCCACGACCGCCAGTGTGGAGCAACGCTCGTGGGCATAGCGGGGGGGCTCCGTGGCCCCTTGCAGAATTGGTGCTTGTGCTGTCAATGCTCTGCGGTCCTCCGTCTTTGCAGCGTCGTCCGCACCTTGCCTCTGCATGTCCAAGCTCCGTAGCTGCCTGCGTGCCCTCCTGTGCTCAGCTGCGTTGTTGCTCTTATGGACACTGCGCAGGCCTGGCGAAAGCTTGAGAACTCCCTTCCAATGCGTGCTCCGTCTACATCGGGCTCTCCCTTTCGGCCTTGCGGCGCCTTTGCGGCGTCGAGTGGTATTGCCCTGCGTGCAATACTTGGCGCGTCCCCTGCCCACGCCCGTCGGGGTGGAGCAACGCTCGTGGGCATAGCGGGGGGGCTCCGTGGCCCCTTGCAGAATTGGTGCTTGCGCTGTCAATGCTCTGCTGTTCTAGGGCTTTGCAGCGTCGTCCGCACCTTGCTGCTGCATGTCCGAGCTCCGTAGCTGCCTGCGCGCATTCCTGTGCTTAGCTGCGTTCTTGATCTTATGGACACTCCGCAGGCCTGACGAAAGCTTGAGAGGTCCCTTCCAATGCGTGCTCCGTCTACATCGGCCTCTCGTTTTCGGCCTTGCGGTGTCTGTGCGGCGACGAGTGGTATTGCCCTGCGTGCACTTAGCGCGTCCCGTGCCCACGCCCGCCGGGGTGGAGCAACGCTCGTGGGCATGGCGCGGGGGCTCTCCGGCCACTTGCAGATTTGGTGCTCGCGCTGTCAATGCTCTGCGGTCCTCCGTCTTTGCAGCGTCGTCCGCACCTTGCCTCTGCATGTCCAAGCTCCGTAGCTGCCTGCGTGCCCTCCTGTGCTCAGCTGCGTTGTTGCTCTTATGGACACTGCGCAGGCCTGGCGAAAGCTTGAGAACTACCTTCCAATGCGTGCTCCGTCTACATCGGGCTCTCGCTTTCGGCCTTGCGGCGCCTTTGCGGCGTCGAGTGGTATTGCCCTGCGTGCAATACTTGGCGCGTCCCCTGCCCACGCCCGTCGGGGTGGAGCAACGCTCGTGGGCATAGCGGGGGAGCTCCGTGGCCCCTTGCAGAATTGGTGCTTGCGCTGTCAATGCTCTGCTGTTCTAGGGCTTTGCAGCGTCGTCCGCACCTTGCTGCTGCATGTCCGAGCTCCGTAGCTGCCTGCGCGCATTCCTGTGCTCAGCTGCGTTCTTGATCTTATGGACACTGCGGAAGCCTGACGAAAGCTTGAGAGGTCCCTTCCAATGCGTGCTCCGTCTACATCGGGCTCTCGCTTTCGGCCTCGCGGCGCGTTTGCGGCGACGAATGGTATTGCCCTGCGTGCACTTAGCGCGTCCCGTGCCCACGCCCGCCGGGGTGGAGCAACGCTCGTGGGCATGGCGCGGGGGCTCCGTGGCCACTTGCAGATTTGGTGCTCGCGCTGCCAATGCTCTGCTATACTAGGGCTTTACGGCGTCGTCCGCACCTTGCTGCTGCATGTCCGAGCTCCGAAGCTGCCTGCGCGCATTCCTGTGCTCAGCTGCGTTCTTGCTCTTTTGGGCACTGCGCAGGCCTGGCGAAAGCTTGAGAAGTCCCTTGCAATGCGTGCTCCGTCTACATCGGGCTCTCGCTTTCAGCCTTGCTGCGCCTTTGCGGCGACGAGTGGTATTGCCCTGCGTGTACTTAGCGCGTCCCCTGCCCACGCCCGCCGGGGTGGAGCAACGCTCGTGGGCATAGCGCGGGGGCTCCCCGGCCCCTTGCAGATTTGGTGCTCGCGCTGTCAATGCTCTGCTGTTCTGAGGCTTTGCAGCGTCGTCCGCAGCTTGCTGCTGCATGTCCGAGCTCCGTAGCTGCCTGCACGCCCTCCTGTGGTCAAGTGCATTCTTTCTCTTATGGGCACCCCGCAGGCCTGGCAAAAGCTCCAGAGGTCCCTTCCAATGCGTGCTCCGTCTACATCGGGCTCTCGCTTTCGGCCTTGCGGCGCCTTTGCGGAGACGAATGGTGTTGCCCTGCGCGTACTTAGCGCGTCCCGTGCCCACGACCGCCAGTGTGGAGCAACGCTCGTGGGCATAGCGGGGGGGCTCCGTGGCCCCTTGCAGAATTGGTGCTTGTGCTGTCAATGCTCTGCGGTCCTCCGTCTTTGCAGCGTCGTCCGCACCTTGCCTCTGCATGTCCAAGCTCCGTAGCTGCCTGCGTGCCCTCCTGTGCTCAGCTGCGTTCTTGCTCTTTTGGGCACTGCGCAGGCCTGGCGAAAGCTTGAGAAGTCCCTTCCAAGGTGTGCTCCGTCTACATCTGGCTCTCGCTTTCGGCCTTGCGGTGCTTTTGCGGCGTCGAATGGTGCTGCTCTGTGTGCACTTAGCGCGTCTCCTGCCCACGCCCGCCGGGGTGGAGCAACGCTCGTGGGCATGGCGCGGGGGCTCCCCGGCCCCTTGCAGATTTGGTGCTCGCGCTGTCATTGTTTTGCTCTCGTAGGGCTTTGCAGCGTCGTCCGCACCTTGCTGCTGCATGTCCGAGCTCCGTAGCTGCCTGCGTGCCCTCCTGTGCTCAGCTGCGTTGTTGCTCTTATGGACACTGCGCAGGCCTGAGGAGTGTTTGATGAGAGGTCCCTTCCAATGCGTGCTCCGTCTACATCGGGCTCTCGCTTTCGGCCTTGCGGCGCGTTTGCGGCGTCGAGTGGTATTGCCCTGCGTGCAATACTTGGCGCGTCCCCTGCCCACGCCCGTCGGGGTGGAGCAACGCTCGTGGGCATAGCGGGGGAGCTCCGTGGCCCCTTGCAGAATTGGTGCTTGCGCTGTCAATGCTCTGCTGTTCTAGGGCTTTGCAGCGTCGTCCGCACCTTGCTGCTGCATGTCCGAGCTCCGTAGCTGCCTGCGCGCATTCCTGTGCTCAGCTGCGTTCTTGATCTTATGGGCACTGCGGAAGCCTGACGAAAGCTTGAGAGGTCCCTTCCAATGCGTGCTCCGTCTACATCGGGCTCTCGCTTTCGGCCTCGCGGCGCGTTTGCGGCGACGAATGGTATTGCCCTGCGTGCACTTAGCGCGTCCCGTGCCCACGCCCGCCGGGGTGGAGCAACGCTCGTGGGCATGGCGCGGGGGCTCCGTGGCCACTTGCAGATTTGGTGCTCGCGCTGCCAATGCTCTGCTATACTAGGGCTTTACGGCGTCGTCCGCACCTTGCTGGTGCATGTCCGAGCTCCGAAGCTGCCTGCGTGCCCTCCTGTGCTCAGCTGCGTTCTTGCTCTTACGGACACTGCGCAGGCCTGACGAAAGCTTGAGAGGTCCCTTCCAATGTGTGCTCCATGGGGGCCCCCCCAGGTTTCACAGGGGGAGGAGGAGGAGGAGGAGGAGGAGGAGGAGGAGGAGGAGGAGGAGGAGGAGGAGGAGGAGGAGGAGGAGGAGGAGGAGGAGGAGGAGGGGGAAGAGGAGAAGGAGGAGGAGGAGGAGGAGGAGGAGGAGGAGGAGGAGGGGGAGAAGGAGGAGGATGAGGAGGGGGAGGAGGAGGCATCCAGACTTGCTGGTCGAGGTGGATCCAGCCGTGGCGACGAGAAACGCCTCCATGATGCCCCCGAAAGCACGAGAAACACCTGGGAAGGCCGCCGCCGTCCCGACTGGCCCTCCTCCGATGGCGCTCTCGGCGTTCGCCGAGGCTGGCCGGAGGGCCTCAGTACACGTAGCCGCGCCGCATCCGGATGGGCTCGGGGGAGATGTTGAAACTGCGGAGGTAGAACGACACCAGCGCTTGCTCCTCGCGGTAAACCTCCTCCTCCCGCATGGTGGTGCTGGCGAGCCAGGGCCCGGTGTGCGTGGCGTGCATGGAATCGATCAGGGCCATGCGCGGGGCCCTGCCTAGAAGAAGAGACAACTGCACAAGCATAAGCTGTCGGAGCTCAGCGCGGATTTCTTGGATCGGCGCCGGGCCCCCGACGGCGCCTCTGGCGCAGCCCCTGGCGCGCAGAGACAGCGCCGACCCAAGAAACCCGAACGGCCCTCCCAAACGTTCTGCTCTCGCCGCTTTTGATTCTTCGACTGCCGATTTTGGCTCGGAACGCGCCGGGGAAGAGCTCGTCGTAGCCCCACGAGCGCGACAACCGCGGGCGCACCATGCGGCAGAGCACCTCGAAAGCCTCCCGCGTGAACACGGGCGCCTCTGCGGGGAAGCCGGAAAAGGCACGAATGGGCAATTCCGTGCAAGTGGACGCGGCCAGGACTGGGAAAACTGGCAACGGCTGAGTCGAGCCCGAATCAATTGGGATGAGGTTGCCCGGGCTGGAAGAACAAAAAAGGGAACTGGCCAGGGCTGTAAGGAGTGGAAGGGCTGGCCCCTGTTACTTTTTACATCCAGCTTCCCATGTGTGGCTGCAGAGTAGCGGTGGCGCCGATCAGTGCCCATGGGGGAGGAACAGAAGGCCTCCCTGCCCAACTGTTCTTACCCCCCGCCAACCAATCGAAGTCTGCCTCCAAGACGCTCCCGCCGATAGGGGAGGTCGCATTCTAAACCAAATCTCGGCCGCAAGAACCCGATCGGGTCGTCGATGCCTACCGGCATCCCACAGCTTTCGCCCATCCCCAACTTCTGGAGAGCCTCCCGGCACAACTAAGCACGGACAACATGACACCAACTGCAGACGCTCGTGCTGCCGCTGACATCGTGAGACGCGGCAAGCAGCAACCTTACAACGCGAACGCGTCATCCTGGGCAAACCATCCCTGTGCCTGCGGGTACGGGCCGGAGGGCCGACGTGTCCCGGGATGCGCGGCCGCAGCCACCCCTGCCGGGAGCTGCAGCTCGGCCCAGCTCAGGGACGGCTCGTTCCGAGCGAGGGGCAACGGCGCTGGTGCCCCTCGTGATGGGCCCATTTTCCACCACCGCTGCCATAGGTAGCACGGGGGAGAGGGGAGGATGAGGAGGGCCTCCTTCTCCTCCTCCTTCTCCCTCTCCTCCTGCTCCTCCTCCCCTCCTCCTACCTATGGTAGTGGTGGTGGAAAATCAGCCCACCGCCTCTGAAATTTTCGGGCGGGGCCGCACGCGCTGAAACTGATCATGTGCAACGAGCCCCGGTGGCAACCTCCAGCCCCGACGGGCGAACAGCCTCATGGCTTCCAGGGCCCTGGGGCGAGGAGGCCTCCAGCAGAATAACAAACAACCGCAAGAGGCCCCCAAGACAATAGACGACAGGTCCGCGATGCCACAAGATCGCTCCAAGACGTCCAAGATGGCGCCTAGACGCCCCGAGAGGCCTCCAAGAACCCTCCCAAGAGAGTCTCCAGGAGCAAAAATTGATGATTTTCCGTTGGTTTTCTCATGATTTTGGCTTCTCCGCCTCATCGGCTTCCCGGCGCTTTATAACGGCCCAAGAGGCCCCCAAGATCCTCCCAACACGGCCCAAGAAGACTCCAAGAGGGCCCCCCAACGGCTCCAGCGGGCTCCAAGATAGCCCCAGAGGCCTCCAAGATGGCCCAAGAGGCCCCCACGACATCCCCAAGAGCAGGCCCAGACGGGGGACCCGAACGGAAATTTCGAGCTCTCGGCCCCGAGAGGTCCCCAGGATGCCCCAAGACGCTCCCAAGAAGCTCCCAAGAGGTCCCAAGAGGTCCCAAGAGGCCGCCAAGAGGCCCCCAAGAGGCCCCAGGAGGTCCCGGAAATATCGCCAAGAGGCCCACGACAGGCGTCCAAAGACATTCACAAGCCTCTCAAAGAGGCGCGCCCAGACGCCCCAAGTGGCCTCCAATAGCCCTCCCAAGAGAGCCCCAAGAAGCACGATTCATTGCTTTTCTATACGTTTTGGCCAGAATTCTAAGTTTCCACCTTTCCGGCTTTCCGACGCTCCAAGACAGTCCGAGACGCCCCCAAGACCGCCCCATGAGGCCGCCAGCGGCTCCCAAGAGGGCCCCAAGACGGCCCAAGAGGGCTCCAAGACACCCAAGACGCCTCCAAGACGGCCCAAGAGAGCCCCAAGAACGCCTCCAGAGAAGCTCCAGGGGCGGAACACGAAACATCATTTCGAACCTTCGGGGCTAAGCACCCCCCAGGAAGCCCCAAGAACAGCTCAAGTTCCCCCCACACCAACCAAGAGCTGCCTGTGCACTGCCTCCATAAGCTCACGACTGCGTTCCGACGAGACCCCACAACGCATCTCTAAGAAGTCTCACCCACAACCCATGCACAATGACGGGATGGGCCGAACGCACCTGAGCTCCATAATGCAAAACTGCAAGCAGCCATCGAGAGGCGTTCTTCTCCTCCTCGGGGCAGCCCTTGGGGGTCCCCGAGCGAAAAGTCCCCCTGGCAAGTCCTGGCAAGTCCCGGCAAGTCCCGGGCAAGTCCCAGGCAAGTCTGGGTCAGAGATGCCAGACCAGGCAATTTTTCGACACCCCTCATGAGGATCGTGGCCTCCGAGGGGACGGCGCCATCGACTCTCCCCCCCTCCTGCCCCAAGAAGCGGCCAACAGGCTCCCGAGGAGCCAAGCGGCGCCCAAGAGGCCCCCCAAGAGGCCGCAAAGAGGCCCCCAAGAGGCCCCCAAGAGCGCTCCGTGGGGGCCGGCGGAATGAGCGAAGCGATTAAATAACAAACAACCGCATGATCAGAAAACGTCGGGGGTCCGCGCGGAGCTCCGAGGATTGAATGCCTATGCCGTTCTCTCTTCTTTGCAACGCGCATCCAGCCTGGACGTCCCTTCCTAGCCTCAGGGCCCCGGCCCTCAGGGCCGCACCTTCGCACTGCCACCACAGACCCCCAAGCTGCGTTTCTTCTTGTTTTTTTCCACACCGTGGACCTCCACGGCTCCTCCAGGGATGAGCCCTCTCCGACGGACCAGCTTTCCAAGGGAGGTGGCGCCTCTGCGAGGGCGAGGGCGAGGGCGACGACGGCGACGAGGACGACGACGATCGGGCCGGGCGAAAGGGGGGGATAGCAAAGGGGGGGTTTGAGAATCAGCTCGCGTAGCTGATTTTCCCGGCGCCTCCCGGAGCCGGGAGGCGCCCATGTATCGAGGAATGGGCCCCTCGGTGGGGCCGAAACCAGCTGCATGCAGCAGATCTCGTACTCCCCCCCTTTCCCTCTCCCCCCCTTTCGTTCGGCCCGAGACGACGACCCTCTCGAATGGACCGGCTCCTCATCCGGCGGAAGAGGAGGAGGAGGAGGAGGAGGAGGAGGAGGAGGAGGAGGAGGAGGAGGAGGAGGAGGAGGAGGAGGACCGGGACGTCTGGGCCGCCGGCGCCTGCCACTCGAGGAAGCTGACGAGCCGGCCGGCCGCCCCGAGGCGTCGCAGGTGGGCCGGGCGCATGCCGTCGTAGCTCAGGTGGGTGCCGACCAACGCGGGGGAGGCCACGTCCAGGCGGTTGCGCCGCCTGGGCCACGAGGCGGCACGCTGGGATGGGACGCGCCCGGAGACGTCTGCACTGCTTTCAAAAAATGCTTCGTGTGCTTGTTTGCTTGCCTGTTTGGTTGCTTGTGTGTTTGTGTGTGTGTTGTTTGTTTGTTTCTGTCTTCATGTCTTTGCTTGTTTCTTACGCAAGGTTGTTAAGCACCTTGGTTGGCCTTGCTTGTCTCCTGGAAGAACTTGTCTCTAAGGGTTCGATCAGTTTTTTTTCTCCAAGAAGCTAACCGGTGCTCTGCCAAATCCAGAGTCGGTCTGGCGACGTTGACTCTCGTTATCGCCCATTGTCTCCCGTTATCTCTCATTCCCTCTCACTGTCTATCAGCATACGTATCCCTATCCCTGTCTCTGTCCCTATCCCTGTTCCCATTGTCCCCCGTTGTCTCCCATCGTGTCCCTTTGCCTCCAGTTGCTTCCCGTTGTCTATCTCTATCCCTATCCGTATACGTATTATTACCTCTGCTTCTATCCCTATCCCTATCCCTCTGCTTTTATCCCTTCACCTATCCGTTTGTGCATATCCTTACCCGATGAATATATCCCTATGCCTATCCCCATCCCGATCCCTATGCCCCAATCTGTCTAGCCTTATCCCCCATCTCCACCCCTACCCCTGTCCCCCCATCGTGGCTCCCCATCGCAACAACGCAAAGCTGTTTAGGGCCCTTTGCCTCTAAAGTGTTTTTTCCCGGAAAGGGCGTGGGCCCAAGGTTCTCTTTTAGTTTGTAAACTGTCCCCGGTGCCATGACTGAGTTGGGCCGGCGGATTCTTCTCCTGATAATTATCGAGGTCGAGGTGGGCCAGCGGATTCAAATTTGAGGATTTCTCAAGCGAAACGCTTGTTTTCAGAATTTGTTGAGGATGTCTCCAGCGAAACGCTGGTTTTGCAGAGTTGGGGGATGTCTCGAGCGGGGGCCTCGTGGGGGGCCAGAATTCAAAAGATGTCTCAGGCGAAATGCTTGTTTTCACGTGCCCAGGTCGGCCAAAGGGGTATCCAACATGGTTGTCCGTCGCTGGCGCCTCAAACGACCGCATGTTGGATATCCCCCCTGGGTGGGCTGGAACCGTGAGTGTTTACGTGTGCAGGCCATCAAGGGGTATCTAACATGGTGGTCCCGAGCTGGAATCACGCGTTTTCACGTGTCCAGCCCACCCAGGGGTGTATCTAACATGGTGGTCCCGAGCTGGAACCAAGTGTTTTAACATGTTCAGGCCACCCAAGAGGGGTATCCAACATGGTGGTCCTGCGCTGGAGCCGGGTGTTTTCAATTGTCCAGGCCACCCAGGGGGGGTATCTAACATGGTTGCCCAGAGCTGGCACCATGTGTTTTTACGTGTCCAGGCCACCCAGCCGGGCATCTAACATGATTGTCCCGAACTGGAACCATGTGTTTTTACGTATCCAGGCCGCCCAGGGGGGATATCCAACATGGCGTCGGGCCCAATGCCGAATTATCAGAAAACGCACGGGGGGCCGAAAAGCGCTACCCGAAAACATATCCCAGTGATGTGCTCTGGACAGGGGGTGGCGCCTTGGGTGCCACTCCAGGGAAGACAATGCAAGGATGTCTCGAGCGGGAGCGCGAATTCAGCGTATCCAGGCCACGCAGGCAGGTATCTAACATGGTTGTCCCGAGCTGGAACCACGTGTTTTTACATGTCCTGGCCACCCAAGGGGGTGTCCAACATGATTGTCCCGAGCAAGGACCACGTGTTTTAACGTGTCCAGGTCACTCAGGGGTGTATCTAACATGGTTGTCCCGAGCTGGCACCACGTGTTTTTACGTGTCCAGGCCACCCAAAGGGGGCATCTAATGGCACCCACGTTTTTACGTGTCCAGGCCACCCAGGGGGGCATCTAACATGGCTGTCCCGAGCAAGGACCATGTGTTTGAACATGTCCAGGCCACCCAGGGGTGTATTTAACATGGTTGCCCAGAGCTGACACCATGTGTTTTTACGTGTCCAGGCCACGCAATCGGGTATCTAACATGATTGTCTCGAACTGGAACGACGTGGTTGTACTTGTCCAGGCCGCCCAGGGGGGTATCCAACATGGCGTCGGGCCCACCGCCGAATTATGAGGAAACGCACGGGGGGCCGAAAAGCGCTACCCGAACACATGTCTCAATGCAGAAAAGGGTTCTTTCTTGCTCTGAACAATGGGTTGCGCTTTGGGGACCTCTCCAGGGAAGGCATTGCGAGGATGTCTCGAGCGGGAGCGCGAACTCGGCGTATCCAGGTCACGCAGGGGGTATCGAACATGGCTGTCCCGAGCTGGAACCACATGTTTGTTTCATGCTCAGGCCACCCAGGGAGATCTCTAACATGATTGCCCCGAGCTGGCACCACGTGTTTTAACGTGTCCAGGCCGCCCAAGTGGGTATCTAACATGGTTGTCCCGAACTGGCACCACGTGCTTTCACGTGTCGCAGTGCGTCCCCGTGGCACGTTCCCTGGCACGTCGCCTGGCGCGTCCCTTGGAACGTTCCGCGGCGCGTCTTCCTGGCATGTTCCCCTGTCAATTAGCTCTGAGGCAGCTACTATGTGGACTATGTGCTCAGACAGTTTGAGCTTAAGATCCAGACCAATTCGGTCAGGACTCGGATGCAACGGAGGACTCGATCCACAGCGCTACAAGGCACACTCGCGGCATGGCACATCGCAGTTCAGAACGGCGCAGCACAACACAGCCCTCGGCACGGTACGTCAAGATTGATACACTTACTTAGTATTGCAACCTGGCACGTTCCTTGGCACGTTCCGTGGCGCGTCCTGTGGCGAGTCCCCCTGGCACGTCGCGCGGCGCGTCCCCTGGCACGTCCCGTGGCACGTCCATTGGCACGTTCCGTCACGCGTCCCCTTGGCACGTCCCGCGGTGCGTCCCCATGGCACGTCCCCTGGCACGTCGCCTGGCGCGTCCCTTGGAACGTTCCGCGGCGCGTCTTCCTAGCATGTTCCCCTGTCAATTAGCTCTGGGGCAGCTACTATGTGCTCAGGCAGCTCGAGCTCAAGATCCAGATCAGTTCGGTCAGGACTCGGATGCAAAGGAGGACTCGATCCACAACGCTATAGGGCACAATCTCGGCATGCACATCGCAACTCAACACGGCGCAGCACAACACAGCCCCCGGCACGGTACATCAAGATCGATACGCTCAGCATTTCATTTGCCCGTCGCCCAGTCAGGTGTCATTGACGCGTTGCCATGCGTTACGTTTCTATGTTCCTTTCCGGGTTCGTGGGTCGATCATGTTTTGCGGATTCACAAGCGAAGGGTGTGGGTGGTCACAGAGTGCTCTAGGGAGGAGGAGGAGGAGGAGGAGGGGGAGGAGGAGGAGGAGGAGGAGGAGGAGGAGGAGGAGGAGGAGGAGGAGGAGGAGGAGGAGGAGGAGGAGGAGGACCTCCTCGCGCGGCGCGCGCCCACGGAGCGCTGGGCGCCGCGCGCGCGCATCGCAGGCGGGCATACCGAGCAGACGGATCAGGCGGGGCGCGAAAGGGGGAGGAGGAGGAGGAGGAGGAGGAGGAGGAGGAGGAGGAGGAGGAGGAGGAGGAGGAGGAGGAGGAGGGAGGAGGGAGGAAGAAAGAGGGAGGAGGAGGAGAGCGCAGCGACGCGCGCATCAACCGCCGTGTGCGATCGCAAGTGCACGGGTAAGCGCGCGGACAGTCCCCCGCGTGCGGCCGTGTCGGGTCGGGCGAAAGGGGGGGATAGCAAAGGGGGGGTTTGAGAATCAGCTCACGTAGCTGATTTTCCCGGCGCCTCCCGGCGCCGGAGGCGGCCATGTATCGAGGAATGGGCCCCTCGGTGAGGCCGAAACCAGCTGCATGCAGCAAATTTCGTAACCCCCCCTTTCCCAATCCCCCCCTTTCGCCCGGCCCGAATCAACCGCCGTGTGCGATCGCAAGTGCACGGGCAAGCGCGCGGACAGTCCCCCGCGTGCGGCCGTGGGCCTGGGTGCGGCGCAAGTGAACAATACACATACCACTCGGGAGCGCCGCGCGTGCCCGCCCGTGTGTCTCTCGCTCCCACCCTAACCGCCCCCGTGTGGTACTTGGAGCTGTGGCCCTGTCGCAGTGTCGCCCGGGCCCGAGCGGGGCGGCGCTCGTGGGACGGGCCGCGTCACCCGCCGCCGCCGCCGCACGCTCGGCGCTGGTCCTGGGTGCGCCGTGCCCGTTTCGCCCTGTGCCGGCGCGGACACCGCGCCAGTAGATGGCCGCAGGCTATGTTAGGGGGCCCACAAATATACACCACCACCATCACCTCCCTCTCCCCCTCCCTCTCGCTGGAAAGAGGAGAGAGGAGGAATCGACGTGGTGGTGGTGTACATTCTTTGGGCCCCAATATGTCGTGCCCGCAAAGGGGCGTGATCCTCCTCCAGTCGAAGCGCGCTCCGGCAGCGTGCGAGGTGGGGGGGGCAGCAGGAGAGAGCCTTGTCCGCCCTCCCCCCCCCCTGCCTCCTGGGAGGGGCAACGACAGGGGGGGGGGGGGGCTGGCTCGGGAGCGGGGTGGGGGGCAACATCGGCCTGGAACCGGCGATGCCTCGCCCCCTGTTCGCCCTCCCCCCCCCTTCCTTCCTGGGAGGGGCAAAGGCAAGGGGCAGGGGGGGGGGGGGAATGGCTCAGGGGGTGCGGGGGACATCGAGTGAATCGGCAAGAGGCTCCCGAGGGCGAAACCGCACTCTCCTGGGCGGCGTGGTGGGCTCTCGGGCCCCTGTCGGCGATGAGTGGGCGATCAGAGGTCGATGCGTCCCCCCCTGAGCCGATGCCCTGACGATCCTCGTCGCTTGGTTTTCGGGTCGTGAATCGGGTCTCGGGGGCCGTTCGGGACGATCGGAGCATCCCTGGGAGCCTCTCCGCGAGGCGCAGCTGCTGGAGCGCATCCCGAGGCTGGGAAGCCGCGGAGAGCCGGCGAAGCAGCCCGAACACCTCGAACCTCGAACTTCGTCCCCCACCCCGAGGCCATTGCCCCCCGGCGAAAACACACCAGAGAAACTCGAGCTTCGAACTTCGTCCCCCCCCCCCTGAGGCCATCCCCCCTGACAGTTAAAACAGGGCTAGGATCGGGATAAATCGCTCCAGAGCGTTCCGGAGCGCTCTCAGAGCGTTCCGGAACGCTCTGGAGCGGCCGCGGCGCCCAATACATCCTCCAAACCCGCCGATTCTCAGAGATTTCGAGTTATCCCGATCCGATTTTGTCCCGATCTTCGCGTCGTTTGAACAGTGCCCCTGGTCCTGCCTCCCCCCCCCAGGCGGCGAGGGCCGCCCCGCCGCCTCGCCGCGTCCTCTCCCGGGACGGGCGACGGCTTGCCTCCTTTCCCGTGCGGGGCCCCCGGAAGTCCGGGCCCTCTCTTGGCGGCGCGCACACGGGGGGTGCCCAGACCCCCTCGAGTAATGAAAAAATCATGACGGGAGGTTTTTCCTAATTTTCGGCCTCGGGGGGCCCTCGCCGGGCCTCGGGAGCGTCAAAAAACGACTCAGGAGGACAAACCGGTCCTGGGGAAGAGGTCGAGAACTCTGGGGTCGACGTAATGAAAAATTCATTACGTCGGGGGTCTGGGTAAGGGGGATGGGGGAGGGCTTCTTAGAAGGAGGCTGCCTCTTAGCAGGCGCCGGCCTTCCATATAGATAAGGCCCTCGCCTTCTAAGAAGCAGGGGTGCTTCTAAGAAGCCCTCCCCCCTCCCCTCACCCCCCTCTGCGCGTGGCCGACTCTCCCAGAGCTCCAACGCATTGAAAAATTCAGTGGTTGTTGTCGGCGCCCGGGGGCCCACGCTGGGCCCCAAGACTGCCAACCACTGACTATAATAGGGAGCCCACAAAGGACGTACGCGCCCAGCTATGTACATGAACACGGCCCCTCGATCCGCGAGACCAGCCGCGTTATACGAACATTTGCGCTATGCGTACTCTCGAAACCAGCGTGGATTCATGTACGTGTACGTCCTTTTGTCGCTCCTGACTATAAGGATGCGAAGCTGGCCCTGCGGAGAGGAGCGGACCTTCCAGGAGCCTCGCATGCAGATTATATCGGCACGTCGGGCCTCCGGGCTCTCCCCACGGCCCAGCCTTCACCCCGAGCAGGTTAGGGCCGGTCCCGGGGCACGGCGAGGGTCCCTCGAGGCCGAAAAACTGTACACCCTGCGAAATGCTTTAAGAAATCATGGGTTCAGAAATTCATAGTCTCAGAACTTGAATGAAAACCCCCACATTTTGATTAAAATCTTAAGATTTACATTGAAACGTTAAGAATCATCGAGACTCTGGCCGAAAACTTAAGTTTTCTAAAGCATCGCCTAAGGTGTACAGAAACCGCCCGTCGTGCTGTTGTCCACGCCGCGAGCACGCCATGGGCTCGGCTTCCCCCCCGGGCCACATGACGTCCAGCAGCGTCGCCGTTTCCACCGGGTGCGTCGGGTGCGCGAGCGCGATGTCGTCCAGGAGTAGCATGACAAATTCTGGCCCGACCCTGCTAGGAGCAACGAACTGAATAAACATGAACTTTCGGAGCTCCGAGCGGAGCTCCGAAACTGGCTGTGTTAATTGCGCAATCGGAGGTTGGGGGGTGAGATCGCAGTGGAACGGAGACCCCCAACCGGGAAATAGTTTCGTTTCGTTCGTGTCGTGCGTGCGGGCGAGGCGAAGCTGCGTGGGCGCGCGAGAGGAATGAACCCGCTATTGCTAGGGCAAAATCAAGACAAATGATTCTCCCCCTTCCGCCCGTCCGGCGGTGGCCCGCGGTGTCCCGTGGTGTCCCGTGGTGTCCGCCGTTGCCAGGGCGAAGTCAAGACAAATGATTCTCCCCCTCCCGCCCGTCCGTCCGGCCGTCCGGCGGTGGCTCGCGGTGTCCCGCGGTGTCCCGTGGTGTCCTGTGGTGTCCCGTGGTGGGTGTCCCGTGGTGTCCGCCGTTGCTAGGGCGAAATCAAGACAAATGATTCTCCCCCTCCCGCCCGTCCGTCCGGCCGTCCGGCGGTGGCTCGCGGTGTCCTGCGGTGTCCCGTGGTGTCCCGTTGAGTGAGATCGATAGTGAGATCGATACTGAGATCGCCCCGAGGTGTCCCGTGGTGTCCCAAAAAATGAGATCGATAATGAGATCGACAAGCGTCCCGTGGTGTCCCGTGGTGTACACCGTGGCGTCCCGTTGAGTGAGATCGATAGTGAGATCGATACTGAGATCGATGTGGTGTCCCGAGGTGTCCCGTGGTGTCCCAAAAAGTGAAATCGATAATGAGATCGATAGTGAGATCGACAAGTGTCCCGTGGTGTCCCGTGGTGCCCCAAAAAGTGAGATCGATAGTGAGATCGATAGTGATATCGTTGTGGTGTCCCGAGGAGTCCCGTGGTGTCCTATGGTGTCCCGTCGAGTGACATCGATAGGGAGATCGATAGTGAGACCGATAGTGAGATTGAGAGGTGTCCCGCGGTGTCCCGTGGTGTCCCGTGGTGGCCCGTGTTGTCCCGCTGACAAGTGTCCCGTGGTGTCCCGTTGAGTGAGATCGATTGAGTCAGATGGTGGTTCCCCCCCCTCCCCCCCACAGCCTCCTTATCACCCGAAGGGTTCTCGTATAGGTATTTTCGTTTTCGGCCTTCGCAGCGCGGCCGCCGCCGCCGGGTCTGCCAGGAACTCCATGAACATGCCGCTGGGCCGGCGCTCCACGGTGCAGCCCAGCTTTGCCCGCAGCTCGCGCACGTCCGCCGACTCCAGGAACTCCTGCCCCGATGAGCGGCGGCGGCAGGGGCGGTGCTTGGCGGCAACTGGGGCGGCGCTTGGCGACGGCTGGGGTGGTCCTTGGCTGTGGCTGAGGCGGTGCTTGGCGACAGCTGGGGCGGTGCTTGGCGACGGCTGAGGCGATGCTTGGGAACGGCTGCCCAATGCCGATCCGTGGGGGGTCTTCCAGGGCAGATCACTGCTAAAATATGATCGCATTAAACAGAAATCACGGCGGGAAATGTTTGGCCGACTTCGGTCTCGTGGGGCCCTCGCCGGGCCCCAGGACGATCAGAAAACGACCAGGGACGGGAAAACGGCTCGTGGGAAAATGTCGGAACATCTGGGGGGCCCGTACCGAAAAAATGAAAGCATCGCATGCCTGCCCAATGGAGATCTGCGAGGGGGGGGTCCAGGACAGGTCAGGTTCAAGAGGGCCGCCCTCTCGATCTCATTCTGGCGCCTGGGCCCTCATGGCAGGCCGGCCAGGGGTCACGGAACGCGTGAGGGGTGTGCCGAAATGGCTGAGATGCGGAGGGCAGAGGCAGGGATGCGAGGAGGGAGGAGGGGGAGGGAAGGAGGGAGGCGTGACGCGGGGCGCGGTCTCTTCGGAGCGAGGGCCCAGTGTACCACAGAACGGCTGGGAGAGATGGCGTGAGGATCAACTCTCGGAGGCCCCCGAGCAGACTTCCGGCATCGGCGCTCGGCACCCCTCCCCAGCACGCGGCGCGCGCCCGAGGTCGGCGCTGCCATGGGGGTGGCCGAGCGCCGATCCAGGAGATCCGCGCGGACCTCCGCGCCCCGCGCCGTGCCCCCTCCTGGTTCCTCCAGGTCCCCCCCTCTGAAGGGGCCCCAGGAGACACAAACAAATACACACACAAACAAAAAGGATTCCCCCATATTGCCCCACATGTTCTGGGTCTTCGTCTCCCCCCCCACTTGCCATAGTTTCCCATCTTTTCCTGGGACTCGACGATCAATTGTGTCTGTGTGTTTTCTCCTCCTGACCCTTGCTGAGACGACGGCAAGCTAGGGGCCTTTTTCGGATGAAGAGGACTCGGGAGTTGCTAGAACTGCCCCTGGCCCAAGGTGCCCCCAGGATTTCCAAGGAGGCCCCAACGGCCTCCAGAGCACCCCTCGCGAGGCTCAGAGGGGGCCCGAAAGGATCCAAAATGGAGCGAAAAGCTGGGGGCACCTTGCGCAAGGGGCACCTTCAGCAACCCCCGAGGAATCGGGAATCTCTGAGAGGTGGCATGTCTGGAAACTGTCTCGGGCGCCGCGGCTGTTCCAAAGCGCTCCGAGAACGTTCCAGGCCGCTCTGGAACGATCTACGGTGGGGGCATTGGATAAGGAACCATTGGATCAGGAATCCTGGGTCTGGAGACTGGTGGAACACCAATCGTGGATTGGCCATGGATATCACTGCCGAGCTCATCAGATAAGGAATCCTCCAGGGTCTGAAGCCTCCTGGGCGCATTCCTTCACCAACGCCCCCACCGTATCCTCACCCTAGACCTGCCCGCTTTGCGCGTGAGGACGCCCCCCCCCTAAAAGCATCTCGTTCCGGTAAGCCGTGAGCCCAGAACAGTGAGCATCCCTCGGAACGCAACTCCTCACCTCCTTTTTCCACGCGACTCCCACTGCCCAAGAAGTTTAGCGGGGGCCCCAGAGCACAACCGTGAAAGCGACGCGGCGCGTTTCCAATCCGAGACGAGGCCCCGAAACGGACAGCGGGCGCGGAGCGGCAGGCCGACAGGCCTCAGCCCTGGCAGATCCGCAGGCTTCCGCCGGCAGAGCCGCCCACATGTTACTGAAGGGGCCCCAGGACACACAAATAAACACACACAAATAAACATACGCACCATATTTTCCCATATTTTCTGGGTTTTTGTCTTCCCCCCCAATTCCCATATTTTCCAATATTTTCTGGGGAATCAACGATTAATTGTGTCTGTGTTTTTTTTCCCTCCTGAGTTACTTCCGCCGGCCTTCCGCCGAGGGCCCTTTCTCTGGCGAGGTCGATCCTTCGTTCCCTCGAGGGCGATGCTCAGATCCTCGTGTCACTCCCCCCCCTCGATCCCTCGATCCTTCGATCCGTCGATGCCTCGATCCTCAGGTCCTCGTGTCACTCCCCTGCCCCTCGATCCCTCGATCCCTCGATCCCTCGAGGGCTATCCCCGCCCCCCCTCCCCGGGGCAGGCCGATTCCCCTCAGAGCGTCGATCCCTCGAGGACGATCGCTTCCAGTTTGTGTCAGGTCCTTCGACCCCTCGAGGGCGACGACCTTTCTGGAACAACCCAGGTACGGCAAGTTCGTGTCGTGCTGACCTCGGCGCTGGTTTCTGACACCGCGGGGATCGCTCAACCTTGAACGATCGGCCGCTTCCGAAACGTCAGATCGTTCAACATCGACCGCTTATGGGTCGCTGGCGACGTTCAGCGTCGAACGCCCGCGGCGGAGTCGCCGCCGGTCGACACGACGCGAACCTACCGTACCTCCAGTGGATGCTCCTTCCTCCAGCGGGCCCCCCCCCACTTGGGTCCCCTTCGAGGACGATCACTTCACCAACCGATGGCAGCACACGAAGTCTCCTCGGGATGTGTTCGATAGAACAGATTATCAGGATAATCGTATGAGCTCGTGAAATACGCAACCTTTCACCTGACTCAGGGCCCCCTGAATATCAAATGGCAATGGCCCAGACAAATGTAACATTAACCCAGTGCGACCCTACCTAGAAGTTGGAGCCCCTAGGAAAGCAGCATTAGTTGCTATGCTATGCTATGCTATGCTATGCTATGCTATGCCATGATGTACTGCGCTATGCTATGCTATGATATGATATGCTATACTATGCTATGCTATGCTGCGCTATGCTATGCTATGCTATGCTATGCCATGCTGCGCTATGCTATGCTATGCTATGCTATGCCATGTCATGCCATGCTATGTTAAGCTGCGCTATGCTATGCTATGCTATGCTATGCTATGCTATGCTATGCTGCTCTGTGCTATGCTGTGCTGTGCTGTGCTGCGCTATGCTGTGCTATGCTATGTTGTGCTGCGCTATGCTATGCTATGCTGGGCTATGCTATGATATGCTATGCTGCGCTATGCCATGCTACGCTATGCTATGCTATGCTGTGCTCTGCTATGCTAAAGCTCAGCGAAGCTAAGCTGAAGGTAAGCTAAGATAAGATAAACCTGAGCTAAACTGAAGCTAAGCTAAGCTAAACTGAAATTAAGGGGGCGTAACTGGGGGAACCGCGGGGCGGATGCCGGGGAACCGCCCGGGGCGAGCCCCACTGCCCGGCCCCTCTAAGCACATAGAGTAAGAACCCTTCTAGGCAGAGCCTAGGTAGGGAAAAACAGCCGCTTACAACACATCATGCTATGCTGAAATTGCTGACTACGTACACATAACTCGGTATAACGGAAGTTACATTGACACGGGCGGAAAAAAGGAGTTAGCACAGACTCGATCAACATCGCACATTGCCAATCTCAAGGCTCCCGGGAATTTTACCAGGAAGCTCGAAACGGGAACAGGACCGAAACTAACACAGATAAAACGACGCCAACACCGCGGGTTCTCAGCACAAACCAGTCTGACTCAAATGTGGAACTCACTGGCGGTCGCGACAGCGACATTAATATAGCTTTAATTTGTCAGCGCACCAGGCGATCGGTCTATCTTGCTGGGCAGAAGCATGCACAGAGTGCGCTCCTCGAAACACTCAAGTACGAGTCGGCCTCCGCCGACTTAGTCGCTCACGTCGGCCCTGGCGGTCGTCATGCCCCCGTCGGCCTTGCCGACCATCATGCCAAACTGGTCTCATGCCAAAACGGCCTCTAGGTACCCGTTCATCCTTACGCGAAAGCTTCATGAGCGTACTCGGGCAACGGCTGGAACCTCGGCGTGCTGAGATCCTGGTTGTAGCGACGCAGCGACTGGACGAGCACGCAGCGTACCTTCTTCTGCTTCGTCGGCTTCGGGTCGGTCCCCGTCGTTGTCGTCTTGGCTTTGATGGGCACTGGCTCCGTCTCGGGCTCGCGCGTCTTCTCGATCTTCATGTCGTACTCGAGCTGCTCTGTCTAATGTGTCCACCATGCTCCAGCACGGAACTCGCAGCATAATGCCGCCACAAGTCCCATCACGAAGCCGAGAGCCATCATCTTCAGGACCAGGTCGTTCCAGTCGGTCGGCGTCGGTGGAACAGGTCCACGCCGCTGGGCGTGTGCTGCATCGCCTGACCTGCCGCGCTGCTGCCAGCGCTAGCTGCCAGTGTCGCAGCCAGCTTCGCTCCACTCGCGCCAGAAATGGCGCTTGCCCTTGGCTTTTGCTTTCTCCTTCGCCTTCGTCACAGGCGGTTTCTCGAGAGCGTCGTGCAGTGCCTCGCCAGCGTCATCAAGCTCCTTCTCGTGTTGCTCCATCGCCCTCTTGGAGAGCTTCTTGCCGGCCACGAAGTCGGGGTCGTAACGCAACGCATGCGCTCCACGGCGTAGCGCGTCTGCCATCATCTGGCGGGCCGAGAGCTTGGTAAGTCCGTCCGCTATCCGCTGCTGCGTGTTCACCCACTTCCAGGTGGCGCCTATCTCCGCCATCTGCTCATTCACGATCCTCGCCTCGATGGCTGCCCTCTTCTCCGCGATGCCCAGGCCTGCCGTCGCTGAGCGCGACGCGTCGTAGAGGCACTTCGCGCCCGTGATGAACGGCGACTCTCCCAGGTACATCATCGATTCTTCGAGCTCCAGGTCGGGTCGCAAGCTCCGCGCCATACAGACTTTCACTCACATCGGCGAGTCGGCGCCCAAGGCTGCTGCCTGGGCCTCCGCCTACAGCGAGCTCCTGCACAGACGCTGCTTTTTCTTCGAGGCCCACTCCATGGCCGCGAAAGGCGCGGGGGTGCGGGCGTCGAGCTCGTCCGCGGGTCCGATGGAGATCGCGCGGCCTCCTTGCGAGCTGCCGTCGCGTCGGCTCGCCCAGCTCGCGTCGGTGTAGCTGCCGACTCGCAGGTTGCTCCAGGCCTCGTCGAACCCGAAGTGCAGCCCTACGTCCGCGTCGGCCTTTAGAAAGCGCAGATCCTTGTTCCTATCCAAGAGGTCCCGCACGGTGGCTCGACCCGTCGCCGAAGCTCGAAATGACACAGTAGCCGCTGCCATGATCACTACTTGGGCTGCTGGCCACTGCAACTGTCCATTCAGGGTCCTGAAGTTCGTTAGCTCCTTCGGCGACAGCGCGCTCGTGGGGTCAGCTTGCCGATGCCTCTCGACAGTGATGGGTTTCATCGCGTGCAGGTACTTCTCGAACTTGAGGGTCGCGCTGTAAGTGCTCAGGGGCTGCTCCACTTCGCCTCCAGTGAAGATCGGACTCGGTCCGAAACCCCACTTGCCGAACTTTAAATTCTCGCTGGGGGCCCCTAGCCGCGACTGGAAGCACTCGGTGTCGTCGAGCCTCGCGTGGAGGTCCTGCTCGTTCGTCGCGCCCTCGCCGCGCCCGATGAAGTCGCCCACGCGTTTGCCGATCAGGCCGTCCACCACGTAGGTCTGGCTCTCGAAGCTACGCGCGTCGAGCGGGTCGTCGTCGACCCTCGCCGGGCGCAAGGGCAACAACAGGCAAATCTCGAGCCGGCGGTTCCTGAACCCGATCTCCTTTGCGACTTCGTCGGGGCGGTGGCGCCAGAGCCTGGGCGACCGCGGGCCAACAAAGCACGGCTTGATCATCTTGAGCAGCTGTGAACATCTTCTCCTTCGTCGGGCTCGCGTGCAGCTTGGGGCCGCGCGCGCGCGCGTCCTCAGCCTGCAGGAATGCGGACTTCACGTCCGCGCTGGACAACCTCCATTTCCATAGAGACGCCCAGAGCATGACCGTGTGTCGGCCAAAGCCTGCTGAGGGTCCTCGGCGACGTCGCGGTGCTTGAGCCTTTGGTAGAGTACGCGCGCGTTGGCCACCTTCTGCCCATCCTTCATCTTCCACTTGCGTAGGAAGCGTAGAAGGCAGCAGGCTCCGGGATCCACATCCGCCTCGCTGATGGGCTCCCAGCCGCCATTGCGATTGAAAGCCTCGAGGGGCCTCCAGCTTCGCCGCGTAGAACTGGTCCTTCTCCTCGGGCGCCAGCCTACCCTCCACGATGATGGGGGATTTCCTCTTGAAGGCCAGCATGTAGACCGTCTCGGTGGATTCTTCCAACAGCAGCATCTGGTCGCCCACCTCGTGGGCGAGCGCACTCTCTTCGCTTTGTGGGGCGAGCTTCGCCCGCGACAGGCGGGCGCGCTTGGCCAGCGGGATGCCGTCCAGCTTCTCAGCCTCTTCGACACTCTTCTTAGCCGTCGTCTCGATGTGGAACCTGCTGGGCTCCTGCGCAGCGCTGCCAGACGCGCCGGCGCTGGCCGCTGCTGGTCCGTCGTCCTCGTCCTCACCGAGCGTCCTCGGCTGAGGACCTCCAGGAGCCGCCGCGGCAGCTGCTCCTGTCGGGCCGTCGGTCTCGTCCGTCTCCATGGGTGCCTGGGCGCTGGGCTGATGCTGCTCGCCCATGTCGTCCAGGTTGTCGTCGTGCTGGGGCAACCGCCCCTCCGCGGCGTGGTTCTGCTAATTGCAGGTTCCCTTCATCAGCCCGAGCGCGCGCCTGAGCTTATCGATTGTGCTGAGTGGGCTGTCGGGGTCCTCGCTGCGTCCTTCTCGTTCGCGGGCCTCTCATGGCAGCTCGGGGCGAAGCTGCTCCGCGGTGCAAGGGTCGATCGCGCGTCCGTGCGTCACCCGCGCCACCGAAATGCGCGTCGCGTTGCTCCTTCGCCCCCGCCGCTACCGCCAGAGCTGGGCCGTGCCAGTGGCACTTCTACAGCCCCTGCGTCTGCTCGGGTCGCCAGACGTAGACCCACTCGCCGATCTCGTCGTTCCTCCTTGTTGGCCTGCTGCGCGCCAGCAGCGCCGCTCGCGCGGCACGCGAGCAGTTGGCCTCGATGAAGGCTGTCGCGGCGGTCGCCCTCCATATCATCACATCGCGCACCTCGCCCTTGGGGTCGACCAGCGCGGCCTGCTCCGACAGGCCGAAGTCTTCGTCGCAGAGGGCGCCCAGGATCTTGGGCTGCGCCCCCAACGCCAGCGCCGCGGGCCCGAACCCGCGCGCGTTCCTCAGGGTGTTCTGCTGGCTGGCGGTCATCCTGGGGGCGGTCTTGAGCGGGTCGTCGGGGGACCGTAGATGGCACTTGCTCGGCTGTGCCATGCTGGCCGCGTGGTTCCGCCCCATCAGGCCTAACCTGTGGTGCGCACCTCTCGGGATCAGGTCGAGCTCGTTGCTCATCCAGTCGTGCGTGCGCTTGGCCGCGTGCGAGCCTCCCATGTCCATGCGCTTCGTCTCAGGCTTGCCGGCCCAGCTGATCCAGAGCTTCTCCCATAGCTTCGACTCCTCCAGGAACGTCTCGAGATCGGGTAGTCGACTTCGTGGCGCGTGAACTCGCCCATAATGGCCAAGATCTCCCTCTCCTTCTGCTTCCGCGTGATGTAGTGCACGTCGGTGCGGATCACCTCGTTGAACCTCTGGGTCGTCGGCAGCACTGCGACGCGAATCGCGCGGGGCCTCTGCCTGCCCAGGCAGATCTCGCACTGGGAGAGCCCGGCGCACTGGGTCCACTCTGCCGGGGCACCCGCATGCTGCATGGCGACCGCCAGCGCTGCGTTCGAAAGGTGGTCCAGGCTGACATGTGCATGCTTGGCTGCTCGGATCGTCGACGCGTTGGGCCGCTTCGTGGGCCCCTGCATCATGTCGGTGTACTCGATGGCCTCGATGTCCTTCAAGACCTTCTCGGCTGCGTTGATGTCGCTGATGTTGTCGGCCATGCCCTGGTAGGCGATCAGGTAGGTCATTATCCTCGCCATCGGTCCAAGGTAGTTCTGGGCCTGCTGGGCGAGCTTGCCCCGCAAGATCACGTGGTCCTCCGTGCGCGCGCATGCCGGGGTCATGTGATGGATCAACTCCTTGTTGGTCGACTGCAGTCTCGTGGGCTTCTTGCATGGCACGTCCTTGCCCTGGATCTTGTACTTTGCCCCTGACCTCCACTTATCGAGCCCGCGGTGATGTCCTGGCCGCTTCTTCCGTGTCTTCGCCCGCCAGTGTAGCCCCTGCCGCGGGCCTTCCACGCGCGCGCGTGTCGGTTTCCGTTCTGCTGCTTCACAGACGCCGTCATAATCATCTTGAGAAACGTCCTTTCTTCTCGCCCCCTGGCGCCCTTGCTCTCCTTGGCGCGCTCCACAGAGATCTTCTCGTTCGCGCGCTGCCAGGGGCGCCCGCGCTTGCAGGTGGGGGCGAAGAAGATATCGCCGGGCTTGTCGTTGTCGATCTTGTTCAGGAAGTCGCGGATCACGGCGGGCTCGGAGAAGTCCCAGCCCTCCTCGATCCTGAACCTGATCACCTCGATCCGCGGAAACTAGAGCAGCTCCTGCGACAAGGCCCCCTGGTCCACGAAGACCTCCCAGACCAGCCGCTTGCGCGGCCCGCGCAGCGTGTCCTTCATGTCGAGCGCCGCCTGCTCCGGCGCCAGGACCAAGTCCGAGTGGGTGTCCGCGTCGATCGGGTGGCGCTCCGGGCCCGCGGCCTCTCCCGTGGCCAGGGCCTCGTCGTCGCTGCCGATCTCGTGGAACTCCGTCCGTGTCTCGAAATAGAAAGTGTCGGGGTCAGGCGCCGACGAGCCCCCGTCGTCGCCCTTGACCGAATCTCCTTCAGTGTCTTTGTCCGTCGAGTCGCCGCTGCTGTCCTCGCCGTCGGCGGGTGCCCCCTCGTTCATGGCGTCGTCGGCGTCGCCCCCAGCTTCGCCCAACAGGTCGATGATGAAATGGTCCATCTCGTCGCGCTCGGACTTCATCCAGCGCTTGTCGGGGAGATCCTTCATCGTGAACGCTCCAGCTCGGTGATCTCGGATCAAGCCTCGCTCTTCCATGCAGGGTCGCGCGATGAGCAGCGGCGCCCAACCTTCGATGGGATGGGTCGCGATCTGCTTCTTGACGCCGAACGGCCGCGCCGTCAGCGTCACAATTTGCTTGGCCTCCAGCGCCCTGCCGTCTCCGAATCGGAAGCGTCGGTCGCTCTTGCTGTCCTCGACCTCATGCAGCAACTGCCTCGAACGAAGTAGCTCCTCCCACTGCGCCCGCGCCTTGTCGCCCATGACGGGCCGCGTGGCGCCGCCATCGCTGATGCCTTTGCCTATGGCCAGCAAGAAGACTTCCTCGGTCTCGTCGGCGCACTCCGGCGTCTCAGCATCCTCCACCACGCGTGCCTTGTTGTCGGGCTTGGCGAAGCCTCCCTGCCTGAAGCGCTTGGGCCTCGGGCCGCGCTGCTGGGTCGCGCCAGATGCAGTTGACCCCGCTATCGATAATGGCGCGCCCTTGCCAAGCGCTCCCTTCTGAAGGCGTAGAGCTTCTCGTCGTGGTGGGCCAAATCCCTTGCCGCGTCCTTTATCATTGTCACGTCCTCAGCCTTTGCCAATGCCTGGTCTCGTCGCTCTCGTGGGTCCAGTGCGGCTGTCGCGCTGGTAGTTGTTCTCGGGTGCGAGGGCGACGTTCGGGTAGAATCGTGTGGACTTGGCGATCTCCGCTACGCGCTTCTTCGCGTCTGCGAAGCTGAAGTAGGCCTCGTCGCACGACATTTGGGCCTCCTCGACCTCCTGCGGCAGCTCCTCCGCGACGTCGGCCTCCTCCTCGTGCTCCTCGTAGTCGTGCTCCTCGTCGCCCTCATGCTCTTCCTCCTCCAGGTACGTGTCTTCGTAGCGCGGGCCTCGCTCCCGCTCGTAATCGTTCGTGTAGCTCACGTCGTCCTTCAAGCTCTGACCGACCAGCACCTCCTCCACTCGTTTCACGTCGCGCTTGTCGGGCGGAGCTTCGGCCCCGTATGTCGAGCAGTTTTTTTTGTTTTTGTTGTTTTTTTGTTTTCTTCGATTTTCGCCCAGCAGAGGCCGCCCACGCATTGACTACGAACCTGGGCGGCGCCCGATGGTTGAACAGCCGCTCGCGTGAGAAGGTGCCAGCCCGCCAGCATGTCTGGGATGTCCATCCCAACCTCCTTGAGCTCCCTGAGCTCTCTCCTGTGGCGAAGGCAGCGCAACTTCATCGTCTCCTTCTCTTGGCGAGCGAACTTGCCGAAGAAGAAATGTGTACGGGCTGGCGGCTCGGTCTGGTTGTCGTACTTGTAGTACTCGTCCAGCACCTGGAACAATGGCCTGACAACCTCTTCTGTCTTTAGTAAATCCAGGTCGATGTCCTCCGTGGCCTCCGCAACCTCACCCTGCATCCCTGCAGCGAGTTCATGAGTAAGAAAACTTCCTCGATGGCTGCGGTGGTGTCGCGCTTCTTGTAGCACCGCTCGAAAACCTCCAGCTCGTGTCGACAGATTCGATATCCGTCGGTCCTCAACAGCTCATAGCTCGGCGCCGTCTGGGGCAGGCCTGCGTCTGAGCCTCGTCCTCCTCCGCCCAACTCTCCTGTCGTGTCCACCAGCCCTGCCTGCCGTTCTAGTCCGTGTAGTTGGCTCATCGTCATCCACGCTGCTCGGCGGGATGCGGCTGCCCTCCACGCCGGTGTCGGCGGGAACGGCGGCGGCACAGGCTGCCAGCGGGCCGCCAGGCGGCGGCTTGGCCAGGGGCGGCGCGCGAGACGCGCCGTCTGGCATGGCAGCGACGGAGGAACTGGAGAAAGTGGATCTCTGGCTCCGCTACCAATATCAACCGATGGCAGCACACGAAGTCTCTTCGGGATGCGTTCGATAGAACAGATTCTCTTGATAATCGTGTCAGCTTGTGAAACACGCAATTTTTTACCTGATTCAGGGCCCCCTGAACATCAAATGGCAATGGTACAGACATATGTGAAACAACTGCTTGCAACACAGCATGCTATGCTGAAGCTGCTGACCTGTGCTAAACACAGGCCTACGTACACATAACTCGGTATAGCGGGGGTTATATTGACACACTTCCCCTTTGTGTCAGATCATTCGACCCCTCGAGGGCGAGGTCCTTTCTGAAACGACCCAGAGACCCCCAGTGGAGGCTCCTTCCTCCAGCAGGCCCCCGCTCCCCTTTGGATCTCCCGATCGGCCTGCGCCGAGCCGTAGAGGAACACCTGGGCAGGCGGGAAGTTCAGGACGTCTCGTGGAGGCATACGGCCCATTGGGGTCTCGCGCCTCGAGACGCTCCAAGAGTTCCAAATGCATGCTCCTCCGCACCCCTGATAAGGGTAACTCGTCTGGGCATCGTTTCTGGATGGGCCGTAGAGGAGCACCTGAGCTGGCTGGAAGTTCAGGACGCCTCAGGGAGGCATGCGGCCAGTGCTGGCGGCGCGCAAAGGGGGGTAGGGGGGAGGGGGGAAGACATCTTAGACGGGGGCTGCTTCTCAGAAGGTGCGGGCCTCACGTCTACAGACAAGGAACGCGCCTTCTAAGAAGCAGCCTCCTCCGAAAAAGTCTTCCCCCCTCCCCCCTACCCCCCTCTGCGGCTGACAATGGGGCCCTCCCACGCCAGGGCCAATGCAAGATCAATCAACATCGAATCGGGAAAGCGAGCCGGACAAGAAAATACATCGACTTGGGCTGCATCGGCACAAAGCCAGAATCGAATCGGACCCGCCGCGCCAGGACGCTCAACGACACCTTGCGAGCAGCGGGCCGCATCGGATCGCCGGAATATCGGAATCGAGTCGGATCGGGCTGGCCGAAATCGCGAACTGGACTCTGCAGAGTAGGAGGACGAGGGGTCGACCTGTTCTCGTTGCTCTACGAAGCCCCCCCCCCTCAAGCCGTCCTCGACCCCCGCCCCCAGTGTGCCCGCACTCGCGGGGCGAACCGGAGCTTCCCCTACGAGGCACTGCCCGTCGAGAGGGGGCCCCTGGCTCGCAAGGTGCCAGCAGGGGCGCCGGTGCCAGGGCGCCAGACACAGCTATCGGGGGCCACACGGGCTCGACGACCCCGGGCTGCCGAGAGTAGATCCACTGCCCTGGCGCCCTCATCTCAGAAGGCGAAGGCAGGAGGAAGCCAACATCGGCATCGGGATGGGGCGGGCCCAGAGAACGTGTCGGGAGCCGCGGCCATTTCAGAGCGTCGTCCTGGAATGCTCTGAGACCGCTTCAGAACTAAAATATTCAAAAATGATTGATGAAGAATTGAAGTGTAGTATTTTTGAAAAGGGATGCTTTCCCGCTTTCTATCAACATATGATTAAATTTCACTTAAGTGAGACCGCTTCAGAACGCCCTGGAATAATGTGTATCTTCGTTCTCGGCCTACATGGACCTCACCTCTGCAGCCCGCCTAGATGGACCCAGAGCAGATGGGGTCGGAGGACCGCGCCGTTAAGGCGATGCTTCGACGATGCACCGGCGACGTCGGGATGGAGAAACTTGGGCTCGGGATCGCGCCGCAACTCCCACGCTTCGGCGACGCGGCGCAGTCCTCCGACCCCACCTGCTCCGACCCAACCCGGGCGGCCTTGAGCCTCTGGGCTTCCCGCGCTCTCTCCGCCAGCTCCGCTGGTGTCCTCCAGGGGCCGGGGAAAGATGCCCAAAAACCCAGGGCGGGAGGGAGTCCGCACGCCCGGGGTGCGAACCCTCTTTTCCTCCTCCTCCTCCTCCTCCTCCTCCTCCTCCTCTTCCTCCTGCTCCTCCTTCTTCTCCTCTCCTGTTCCTCTCCCTCCTCCTCCTCCCCCTCCTCCACCTTCCAGGCAGCCGGGCGCCAGACAGCGCGGCTGGCCGCCAGTCGGCCACGGCCCCGCCAAGATGGTCGACAGGCTGCCGAGCAGCGTCGCGGAGCGTGAGGCTCTGCCGTGCCCGGGCACCATCACCAGCAGGGGGCGGGCGGCGTGCTCGCCTTCGGGCTCCACGAGCGACCCAAGAGGAGGAGGAGGAGGCGGAGGAGGAGGAGGAGGAGGAGGAGGAGGAGGAGGAGGAGGACGAGCGCCACTCCCCATGGCGCGGCCGTCCCGTCATGAGCAGAAGGAGAAAAGCGAGAGGGAGCACACATGAGGATGGCGGCGGGCGAGGGCGGTATACCTCGCCTTGGTGAAGGGGAGGACCTGGCTGCCCCAGTCACCCATTCGCAGCCCTTTGAGCGTCTGGTATATAGTGAACAGGAAATCGAAAAAAACAACATAATGGACAATCTACCCCCGTCGGGGAGGGGGAGCATCAAAAGACACACCTTGGCCTGAGCAGAGAGATCGGCGAACCCAGAGGGGAGAGCGGGAAGGCAGGAGGCGACAGGGGCGAGGAGGGGACAGTGAAGCAGGTGCAACACTCCGTCACCCTGGGGGGCACGGCACAGAGGGCACTCTTGGGTGGGATCTCTGAAACGACGAGTCGTGCACCAACTATTGCACAGGGTTTTGAGGAGAGAAGAAGAGACAGAGCAGGGGAAGGCGCGGGCGGCGGCGACGAAGGAGAGGACCACGAAGTTGGCGTGGCACTCCTGGGCGGATGCGAACCACCATCGCAGCCGAGGGAGCAGAAGCTCGCGGACATTGCCAGGAACCCTGAGCTGAACCTCTACCTTCGCCTGGAGCCCTCTCCCCCCCAAAGCGGGGACCCGCGGGATGGCCACCACAACGTCAAAGTTGGCCATCAGGGAACAGGAGAGAGAGAGGAGAGCCAGAGGGGGTGGCCCTTCCAGGCAGGGCAGCATTCGTCATCATCCACAAGGCTCAGGAGCAGATCGCGGGCCCTGGAAAACGCCGACGAATGAACTGCACACCGATATCGAGCGGCTCGACTGGCAACCTCAAGATCCCGACTCTCGGCGGGGAAGTCGAGCCCACGCAAGTTCTGGAGGAGCCCGAACGGGATGGCGTTCCGAGGCCCTGCAGCGAGAGCCTGAAGTCCTTCACGAAGGGAAGACAGGACCGTTGCCGAGGGGGCGTGGAATTGACCAACATACATAAGCCGAGGGAAAGCACGAGAATTGTGCCGAGCAGTCGATTTCATGAGCCCAAGACCGAGAGACTTGATATCGCGAACAGCACTGACATATCTTCCAATCGGGCGGGGCCAGCTTTTCGCAGAACTCTCGTACCCAAGCATGAGCCCAAGATGCCTCCCAGTCCTCTGAATGCTGAAGACACCTCTTTTAATGCCACGATTCTTGAGCTCCCGCTCCAAATTCTCAGAGGAAAAGCCAAGCGGGAAGACGGGGGCGGTTTTCTGGGGGTTCAGGTGGAGCCCAAACGCAGGTCCAGCTATCTTCATCACCTCAAGGACAATCACGAGGGCATCGAATACGTTCGAACAGGCGAGCCCCAGGTCATCAGCAAAGCCACCAGGGATCCCAAGATCACGATGCACACGAGAGTCGAGATACCAAGGGATCGGGTCGTAGGTGAGAGCGAAGAGACTTCCGCTGAGGGGGCGCCCCTGCTTGACCCCGCGCCGACTCCGACATCCGTGTTCACGGCGTCCGCGGAAGCTGACGACAACCCGGCAGGAAGAATAGAGCGCCTGCGCTGCACGGATGTACCATTCTGGAATGCCCATCGCTGTGAGCGTGAAGAAGATAGCCGAGTGGCGGAGGGAGGGGAACGCTGCTCGAATATCTAGAAGAATCAGTCCAGCCTGGGCTTCAGCTCGTTGGGCAATCCAGTGTATCAGCTTGGCCTCCAAATCTATGACATTCTCGGTTCCCAGGCGCCCAGGGGCGAAACCCCGCTGAAAGTAGACGCAGGTCTCTTCGCAAACTTGGGGCAGGGAACGGTTGAGGGCACGGCTGGTAATCTTGTTAGAGGTGTTGCTCAAGGTGATGGGGCGAGTGTCCTCGCGAGGCCTAACAGCGCGGCGGGCATCTTCGGGGGCGCCACCTTTGGCCAGGTAAACTTGGTAGGCCCAGTTGAACTCTGGATGGACCTCTCCTGTGGCCAGGATATGCAAGTACAAAGCATATAACGCAGAAAGAGCCCCAACGCCACCCCCCTTCCAGGCAGCGTAGGGGAGCCCGTCTGGGCCAGGAGCGGAGTCCCCGACCCGTGCTAGTGCTTCTTGGAACTCCTCAGGTTCCAGGGTCCAGAAGATCGAGGGCGGGGTGGGCGGGATCCAGTGGACGAACTCCACGCGCTTGTCCTCAGACCCCTCGCTCCACCCATGCACTTGGCCCCAGTGAGCGGGAAGCTCGCGGAAGGCGCTCAGAGGGTCGAGCAGCTCCTTGCCGCTCGGGTGGACAACCCCCTCGAGGCCAACGCGCTTTCTCCTTTTGCCCCAAGCCGAGAGGTATCCAAGAAGCTTGGCGGTGCTCGACTCCTTCCTGACCTGTGGGAGGCTGGGCCCCTGGATTTCCTCCACGCGAGCAGCAATGCATTGCCTCTGAAGGTCTGCGAGATCATCGTGATTGCTTCGAACGTCGGTCCATGCCCCCTCAGACGGATCCAGAAATCGAGCCAGGGTGGGGTAAGCAGTGCAAGCCCGACAAAGTATCTCTTGTCCAAGTCCGAGCCGGAAGCTACTCGAACCCACGGCCCTCGTGCCCCGCAGCGCTGCCAGAGCCCAGGGTAGAAACTCGGGAGGCGAGCTGGCCGTGCGCATCTCCAGTCTTCGCATGAGCCTCCGAGCAGATTCCTTGAGAACACAACTGCAATCTTCAACCGCCTGAACAGGGTGGTCGGAGATCGGGCCCGCCTCCAGAACAACCTCAGAGACCATGGAGGGGAATTCTTTGCGCCGGCAAACCCAACGAGGAACGCGAAACGAAGATGCTGCCGACGTATGCCCCGAAATCGAAGCAACCGCAGGTACATGATCAGACGCTTCCCCGAGCCCTGCAGGACCCCGAAGAACACGGCTAGCAGGATGAAGGTCGATCAAGTCTGCAGGCGGAACGTTGAAGTAAATCCTGTCGATTCTTCCCAATGATACCACTTGCTTAGCCTCCCCAACGCCGAGCTCGACCCGACGCGTGAAGGGGGGCTGCGTGACCTCGACCAGATCTTTAAAGAGGCTGCTGAAGAACCCGGGGATCGGGGCGAAGGCGAAACTGACGGAGCTGTCGACAAGATGCCTACCCTCTCCTTCCGCTGGAAATTTGAAGTCCCCACAGAGAATACCCGAGCAACGATCCGCAGACCAGAGAGCGCGCCGGAGACAGCGAAGAGAAGCGTATACGTCCTGCCTGCCCAGGGCGGGGTCCAGATGGAAGTTGATGATTTGCGCGCAGTCGCGATCGCTGGCCAGCCAGAGCGTCTGCGCCAGCCCACCGATAAGAGAGGAGTGATGTCGCCGAGGGATTAGAGCAGCAAGGGCGGGGTGAAGAAAGATAGCAGCACCGCCAGCGTGGGGATTGCCGGAGAAACTGCCGGCACTTATGCGACCGTGGACCTCGGAAGTGAAGAGAATCAAGTCAGCCATTGTGCCACGAACCTCTTGGATACAGACAATGTCATGAACTTGACTGAGCTGGGTAAGTCGAGCAATTTGTCGCCGCGCGTTTTCCGTGGGATCGATGGCGCCAAACAGGGGGCGAGCATTCCAGCTGACGATTGAGAGATGGGACTGCGGGCGGCGCGGATGGAGGGTGGGGCCAGGGAATACATCATGGTCTGAAGAGGAACTGCTCGTCGATGAGGAAGTAGAGGCCGAAGAGGGGGAGAGACTGGAGCAGCGGCTGAGGGGCCGCGGCCGAGAGCGAGGCCTAGAGGCGTCATCCCGCATCTCATGTCGGCCCCCCCCGCGACAAGCCGCGGTAGTCGCCCTCCCGCCGGTGACGAGGGGAATAGAACATGCAGAGGGTGCCGAGCACGAGGCCCCCGCAGCCGCCGTCGGACTCGCTATCGTACTGATGGCACCCGCAGCCGACGGCGCCTCAGACCCCGCCGAGGAGGCGCAGGAGCTGGCGGCCCTCGAGGATCGCCGAGATGGCGCACTCGCATGTCAACTTTGGATTGTGTCGACCCAGCCCTGGGCCAGCTCGCGGTTCATGTGGAACTGCGCGAGCGTCCCGAACTAGGGGTGGATCTGGTACTGTTGCTGGTCGAGCTCTTCCATCTCAAACAGGACGTGGGTCTCCTCTCCAAAAACCATGTAAAGCACCCCCTTGAAGCCGTTGGACCCCATCTTGTACGAGGCCCCCCACTTCTGCTGCGCCTTGAGGTAGTCCACGACATGCTGGAAGAGGAGGCCGAGCATGCGGTTCTTGCGTCGAACGTGAGCAGGAGCGTCCCGCCGCGCCCGAAGCTGTACTCGAGCACCGTTCATCGGGTCGGTCCACTCGGGCGGTGAGTCCTGGAGCCTGGGGCAGGCGTCGCGCACGGCCGCCTCGTCGTCGAAGGTGATGCTCACGCTCCTGTCGAGGTTGAAGGCTTTGATCGCAGCCTTGCCCTGAACAGCTGGCGGGAGAGAAGCTAGAATCGCCTGGCCCGCGCGCTCGAGGACCGAGTGGGGCAGGGGCCGCGGGAACCCGCCGACCCACATCTTGCATGGGTTGCAGTGCCCGTCGCCCTGCCACCGCGTCGTTGGCCTCCTGGGCGAAGTAGGGGCCCCGGGCAGAGTCAGCAGCCCCGCTGGCTACGCCAGCCCGCGGTGCAGCGGAGCTGCGCGGCGGGCCACTAGGAGGAAGCGCCGCCTGGGCCGCCAGGACCTGGGCCTGGAGCTTGGCCAGCAGCGCGTGCTCTTGAGCGGCGGACATCCCCTTCTGCTGGTCGGCCGTCAGCTTCTGCGCCTGGGCCTCGAGGATGTTAATGCGCCGGCCTTGGTTGCAATGGTGGTCTCGAGCCGCTGGAGGGAACCCGTCGCAAGTGCGAGGGCGGCAGCGGCAGAGGGCTCGGCACCAGCACAGGCACCGCCATCCCCCGCGGGCCCAGGCGGGCCGAGAGCGACGGGGGGCCCGCCAGGGGAGGC